TGTTGTCTCCTCAGCGTCGAATTATGTTGACCACTGGTGGGATCAACATCCTTAGAATGGATTATACAAAAACAATGTTTGTACATACGTTAATTAATGCAAAGTTAAAACATACGTATTTAGAATATATCGCGCAAGCATAAATTTTATAAGAGATAAACTTACAAGGTAATATGAGAATCGACATTCATGATACGAAACAAATGGAGTCCCCTACCAATATATTGTCAATGTTCATTCGCCGGTGGATTTCAAAAGTATGAAATAATGTTGAACTTAATTTTTATGTAGCTAGTTCAGAATAAAAGTTTGTTTATACCTGTTCAGTTGATGAAGTCCTAGGATGACTGAAGTTAGTGGTATGACAGTATGTCGTTTGGTCGATATTTGTTTCCGAATGTAAACATGCACATAGGTGACGATCTTCGTAAATCCAAGTAGTGTCACTAGGAATGTCACAACCTTTATTTCAATATAAACATTCTTAGTTAAGAGATTATCGTACTGAAAATTATAATAATATATAAAAAAATAAAAAAATCAATGTTTTGATTTAACAAAAGGAGAAAACTAGCATTCAAACGTACATATGTAATAGGTGGCATGGTACCATTGCCACCTACCTCTGCACCAACACTGTTGTTGCCATTTGATTTCTACAAAACAATAGATTTGTTCATTATAAAAACAAAATTAGGACATTGCCAATATCAAAATGTTAATGACATATACTGAAAAATTAAATTATCAAATAATAATAAATAAAATAAATTAACCTTCTGTCTCGCAAATTTTTTTTTTGCATGGATTCTTCAAACTTATTCTTCTTCATGCACCTTGGTCCCTTACCACTTGTTTATTTATTCTTTATACTCTTGGCGTTACTTCTGGTCGTGGCTTGCCAATGATAGTTTCATTATGTTCATGATTATTACTTATTTCAGTTGAAAAAGCTAAATTGGTTGCCTCTTGTTCAACATCGGAACATTGTCCTTCAATATTAATGTGTTTCCTTTTCCATTTCATTCCTTTTAGCATCAAATTATTGAATACCTCTTCTTTCTCGGATGCAAATGAGCTGATTTCTGTAAAAAAAACAACATAACATCCTATACCTTCTACGTACTTCAAGTTTGGGATCAGCAATAACTTCACATCTACGGATGTCTTGTACGCTGCTGTCCCTAGCTTTTCTCGTTAACCTTTTTAATATATACATAGAAGGTAATTCTTTCAAGTAATAAGTATCGTCTTTCAGTACTTTAAGTGCATGGCTGCACAAAATACCCTCCATTACATATTTCCCGCACGAACAACTTAAAAAGCCATCATCCCACCTTATCACAGCCCGATCTATATTGCCATCATAAACAGATACTCTAGAAACAGTAATCCATTTTCATCTAAAATTGTTCCTTCCACGGTAACAACCACACAAGCTTCTATGAATTGATCCTGGAAAAGTTCAAAAATCTTCACTGTGTACATATTGCCAACTTGCTTTAGAATTGGACAATTTTGTTTAAGTCTAGGTAGCTTATTGAGTAAACCATACCCAGCTTGATATTTCTTGTAGCGTTTGTCCGACAAGCCTGTCAAGGTGCATAAAGAAATTCGGAATACTCATTTTCCTGGTTAAGTACTCTTTCAAGCAGCTATTTAGACTTTCACTCAGCTGCTTTGTCCGCATTCCAGCGGTGAACCAATGTTTAACAAATGGATAGCCCCATTTTTCTCTCAAATCAAACAAATTGTTCAACCATGTGTTACCAACAACATTGTAGTCCTTTAACATTACATCCCATTGTATACAAAAATCATCCTCATCATCATAACAGTACATGAATTGACTTAGCACACTTTTTATCCAGAATGATGCCTCCATGTTTCTGTGCATTTGCTATGACGTCCCATATGCAAAGTAGATGTCTCGTCCTCGGCATAACTTATGCCAACGCCTTTGCCATTGCACCATCTTGGTCAGTAAGAATCATTTGTGGAGCTTTACCTAACGTCACATTCAAGAATATATCAAACAGGCATGTAAATGAATAGGCAATCTTATCATACATTGTTGCTAATATTTCAAATTATTGAAAAATTTAAAGGCAAGAACAAAATACTATAATACATATATTATATGAAACTTTCATTAAAAATTATGCCCAATAAAATATCTCCATTTCAAAAACTAATTCACATAAAAAAGGGGAAAAAAAATGGCCATGTTCAATTATTAATGGCTTAAAACATATGTATATATAGGATGACCAAAATCATTGCAAGAAGAAAAAAAAAAAAATACATTTTATAGCATTTACCTGACATTGCATTCAAGAATGAATCAAACAGCCACGCAAATGAATTGGCAGTCTCGTCATACATCAATGCTAGTCTAAAGACAGTAGTTTCCCGATGATGATTCAGACCAAGAAAAGCCACAAAAGGACGGTTGCTTTGGATGAGCTTGTATGTCGTGTCGAATGTGATGACGTCTCTAAAATGCCCATAGTCGATTATCATTCTTCAATTTTCCCAGAAGATATTAGTTATCATTTCATTGCTATCCAACTGCACGGTGTGGAAAAATGAAGGATTCTCACAAGATTGAATTTTGAAATAATTCATCAGCCACGTCTTCTCTTCGTATTTTAACTCACTCTGTCTTCTGGTCCTTATAAAATTTTGTTGATCAACTTTGGTGTAGCCAATTAATTGCCTCCCACCAGCCTGCTTGTTCATTTACTCAAATGCATTACTGAATAGAACTCCAGATTGGCAGGCCAATTCCACATCAATTGCTTGGGTAACACTTATTCTTCATTGTGATGGCATCATATGTGTGCATTCTTGAATTATCATAGGATGATTGTGAGATTCTACAAAATTATATACAATATACTTTCCTTTTTTGCGGTCATATCTAATTTGCATCAGTGCACCACAACCGGTTCGAGTGTCAGCCCTGGGCTTTCTTGTATGGATATCCCTCTTGTCCTTCACCCTAAAACCTTGTTTGGAACATACAAACTTGCTTGTTGTAATATTTCTTGTCTTACGGCTTTTATTTGCATAATTCTTATGAATATTGAATTCAACTTTACCCCCATAAGCATTGTAAAAGTCATATGCTTCATCCTCAGTGTCAAACTACATGTTTAATTTTGGTGTGAATTCTATCTCAATGGGATTGATAACTTCTGGTGCTAAGTTTTCAGTAATATTGATTTCAGCAACGATTGGAACGCTTATTCTCATATCATTAGTACTTAAGTCGTCATCCATTGGGATAACTTAAGTATGAATGCTATAAGAAGCAAAAGGTCCATTAGAAGGTTAAAGTCAGTATCTATAACTTGTGATAACCAAAAAAATACTAAATATTTACCGAAATAATGAAAAGGGCCAAAAAAAATTAAGAGTACCTAACAAGAAATAGAGTATCCAAAAAAATATTTAACTACCATGGTTGAAGTGATTTGGGATAATTTTGAAAATAAATTTACAAACTTTGGTATTATTTGCCATTTGCTCACTCACCACTTTAACCCTTAAAATAATGTATTCACATAGTGCCGAATAAAAAATATCACACATAAATATAAGTCAAATGAACGTGTCATTATGTTGTTATTTCAAAACTGGCCTGAGGAAATTCATCAATTCTTTCATATCTTGCCATTACTTAGTCAACATATTTAATACAATGGAAACACAACATGATATCCTTCAAAGCAATGTGGAATGTGAGTAGGGAATGGAGAACATTTGTATCTTAGCCGCTGACCGGTAACTCCAATTTTTTGGCCTACCTTTATGTGTAACATTAGTTAGTTAGCACTATGTGAATATCTTATTTTGACGGTGAAGGTGATGTTTTAGGCTACATTTATGTGTGATATTAGTTATTCAACACTATGTGAATACTTTATTTTGATGGTGAAGGTGATCAGTGTGCCAATTTATTAAACTTCACAATGTTTTTTTTTTCCTCATAAATATCAAATAATAACCTGTGAAATGTGTAATTGCCGCATACATTTAATACCAAAATTTTTGGATAACACATTGATACCTAATAAAGCCAACTCAGTTCAAAAAATCAATTATGAAATATTTTAGATTCACTAGAATGTTTATTGAAGATTATAGAAGAAAACTTTACAATTATCCAATATTTTAGATTCAATAGAGTAATTAACTAATGTCAATTTCAAATAAAAAATATCATAATTTACACTAACTGATGACAAATGAAAGAATCATAAATTCTTACATTTATGTGTGACATTAGTTATTCAGCACTACATGAATATCTTATTTTGATGGTGAAGGTGATCAGTGTGCCAATTTATTAAACTTCGTAATGTTTTTTTTTCTCATAAATATCAAATAATAACCTGTGAAATGTGTAATTGCCGCATACATTTAATACCAAAATTTTTGGATAACACATTGGTACCTAATGAAGCCAACTCAGTTCAAAAAATCAATTATGGAAGATTTTAGATTTACTACAATGCTTATTGAAGATTATAGAAGAAAATCCTACAATTCTCCAATATTTCAGATTCACTAGAATGCTTAACCAATGTCAATTTTAAGTAAAAAATATTATAATTTACATTAACAGATGACAAATGAAAGAATTATAAATTCAGTTCAAAACAAAAATTTCACTGTATTTTGAACAATAAATAAATAATATTATTAAATGTACAATATTAATAACATGTATTAAGACTTACCGGCCATCAAGTATTAATTAGGTCAGTTGTAGGCTTATTAACCATCAAGCATTAATTAGGTCAGTTGTAGATACCAGTTCAGGTTCATTGTAGATTTCTTTCCTGTAGATGAAGAGGAGAATCTTATTGAAGAAACCACCAATTTCTGGAAGGAAATCATTGCAATCTGGGTTTTAATTAAAAAAAGGAAATTAAAAAGTAAAAATAGAGGAGGAGGGAGGAATTATGGTTTTGAATAAAAAAGAAATTCAAAGACAATATGTTTTTGATGGAACAAGAGAGACGAATTAAGATTTGGATTAAAGAAATAAAAAAGAAATAATGGAACAAAACAAAAAGGGATGGAGCGAAATAAGAAAAGCAAAAGGAAGACAGGGAAAGTGAAGAACCGGGGCGCCAAATTATGTGTTTTTCAACTTTCCTTTTTCGCTTGTGTCTTTTTAGGTCTACAGTTGGCACTTTAGTTTACTGTAACTTTTTTTTGGTTGTGTCAAGCCAAACACGGCATTAAGCAGTGCGTTAGGGAAAGCAGAGGATTTGCGCCCGACTAACCTCCCTACCATGACCGTCGATTCCGACTGGCGGCGACAAGTCAAGCAACAGGCAAAGCCGGCGGCCCCCATCGCCATCGGCCACTTAAGGAGCTTGACCGTCGACGCCAACCCCTTTGAAAGCCTTGTCTGTGCCTCCATCTCAGATGGCTGCGAGTCCGAGATATTTGGCGCCAAGCAGGCGGTGGAGGAGAAGAGAATGGGTGGTCCTAACAAGCACTCGATCTGATTGATCCCAAGAGATCTAAAAGGTTTCACCTTTTTTTCCTAATAGGTGGACTCATTTCTCTTTTTTGTTTATATTTTGCTACATTTTCTTTCTCAACAATTTGGATGGTTTGATTGAATTCCTTCGATAAGAGTCGCAGCCATGCCCACCACTTCATCATCTTCACAACCATTTTGTGGATTGATTTGAGAACCCTCACTTCTCAACGATTTGTTTTGGAGAGATTTTTGGTTTGAAACAAAAGATGAGGCAAAATATGTATGGTGCGAGAATAAAAAAACGAAGGGATTGTTTGTGATTTTTAAATTCATAAAATTGATGTTTGGAGAGAGAGATTTTGGAGGGCTAGTGTTTATCAGATCACAAATATGTTTATTTGAAACCTATTAGAAATCGAAGGAAGATATATTGTTTGTGTATATACAATTATATAGAACCTGAGTAATGCTAGATTGTTGTAAAATCAAGAGAGAGAGGGCGAGAGATTCAGATTAGAGTGCTAAGAGAGTAGATAATTTGGAGGAGAGGAAGGGTATTTTGGGTTTTTCAAGTGTGAAATATGTCCTTGGATGCATGCAACATTTTAAAAACCAAGTTATGCCATGTGAACATTAGATGGAAGTCTCTTTCATAGGCCTGACTTTTTGTGGCAAGGAATCCAAGCTTAGGTGGAACAAAGAACTCTCGGTCCTATCCATTAATGAAACAGAATTAAGCAGCTAGATCCATCAATGGTGTGCAGTAATTATGAGGTGGTTTAGCTGTTTTATTCAGTTGCTGTATTGCTGTATGTGATCTTATTAAATAATTAGTTTCTTACCTTCTTGTAACAAGTAAATAAAGTATAAGCCAAGATTAAAGATAGATGAAAGTTTATGGGGTGTTTAATTGGAATTTCTTTGATATTGGGCTTGACTCTAATCCGAACATTTCTTTGATTTGACAAAACTGTACACGATTTCATTATTTATATGTCTAGCACTTCCTTGTTTCTCACATTGTGTTCTTATAATTAAATTTATACTCATGGAGAAAACTAGCTTCCGCTTGTCTGTTGCAGTGTTAGTGGTGCACTATCTTATGATTTGCACAGCTACCACTGTAACCAACGTCACCATTGATCAATATGCTCTTCTTGCCTTGAAAACCAATATAACATCCGACCCTCATGGCATCTTGGCTAATAACTGGTCGGCAGCGACCTCAGCTTGCAACTGGGTCGGAGTCACATGCGGTGTTTGCCATCAAAGAGTCAGAGCCTTGAATGTTTCTAACATGGCTCTTCAAGGTACCGTTACTCCACACCTGGGTTACCTTTCGTTTCTTGTTTCACTTGACATAAGTGGCAATAGTTTCATTGGTCATCTGCCAAGTGAGTTGGTAAATTTGAGTAGACTGAAAATCATGAATTTAAACTCTAATGACTTCAGTGGAGGGCTTCCATCATGGTTGATTGCCTTGTCTCAACTTGAGCACTTGCTTCTTGCTAACAACGGTTTTACAGGTGTGCCATCCTAGCTAATCTCTGTCTCCATCATATCAAACATATAAATATTTAATTAGAGTGGACTTTAGGGTATATACATATAAGGAGACATTTCTCTATCGTGAAGATGCTTGTTTTGAGCTATTTGCTCCTTTGTATAACTCTTTTGTTATTTTTTATTTTATTTTTTTTATTTATTTTAATCTAAATCATTTAACCTTAATGAAATATATATATATATATATTATAGATGGGAAATAATTAATTATATTTCTGCAGGCTTCATACCACCAAAAATCTTCAACATCTCCTCATTATAAATGTCTGGCTGCTTCTTCTAATTGGAGGTATGGCTGTAAATGAGTTAAAGGCGAGCCAAGTAGGGTTTTATTGGAGCTCAGCTTCACCATATAGCCATAATGTTCTACCTTTCCAGACTAACCACTCACAAGAGTGGTGGGTCCCACTAATATTGGTTATGACACCCACCACTCTTTAATGTTATGTTTGGTTGGAAGGTATAATGGAGGACGGATGGAAGAGAGGAAGGATAGAAGAATCTTCTCTCTCATTTGGTTAGAAGTAAGGGAAGAGAGGGAGGATGCAAGGGAGATGAAGTATCCCTCCTACAAGCTCATGATAAAAAAAATAAAATTGATTTTAATACTTCCTTTTCTATCATCAAATCAACAATTTCGTTCTGAAGAAAAGCCTTTGTTCACCATCTTCAGGACAAAAGCTGAGCTTATGTTACATCAAACCCCTCCCTGTCCTGTTAGACGATCTCACCTGTGAGGGTTTTGAAATCTGTGCGAGGTCTGTACTAACCAGTCTAACCACTTCCGCAACTATCAGCGGCCCACCCCAGAGGCTTTTTCGTGGGAATCCTTATAGTTTCTTCTTTCAGTGTCCTTCCATTAATTTTCTCTCTAAAAATTGCATCATTTTTTTTTTTTGTTAGGTAACTATTTACACACATTTTACAGTTTGTACACTATGGGCTTGAACCCCTCACGTCCCCCTTTGAGGAAGGAGAGGATGTACCATTGGGTTAATGGCCCATTTGGGTGCCACACTTCTATGTTCTTAATCGCTTAGTTTAAAAGTCTCTGTTCCTTAGCTCTCTTAGGCCCTGTTTGGTTGGAAAGAAATACAAGGGAAAGAAAGGAAAGAAAATTGGAAAAAATGACATATTGTGTTTGTAGAAATCATTAAAGAAAAATAAAAGAAATGGAGGGTTTTGTTGGGATACATATTAGGCATGATGATTAGGTTTTGTTATCCTTCCAAAAATAGGAGTAAATGTAAGGAAACGGCTATAAAGTTTAATAGAACTTTTTAAATACTGATTTTGCCCGCCCTTTGTAAAAAACAAACTTAAAATATCACGAGTCCTAAGACTTGACATGTTTTTATTCTCTTTAACCTTTCTTAGTTTTCAAATTGTCTTTTTTTCTCTTTTTCGTTTTATTATTATTATATTATTGTTATCCTTGCAAGAAACTCACACACCCACATGCCCCTATAGGGACTTCAACCCTCGATCTTTCCCTTTGGAAGACAAATAAATACCACTGACTATAGCCCTTGGTAATTGTGACTTTGGCTTGAATGATGTTTAGTACAAATTTTCTTTTTTCTCTTATTTGTTTTATCACTTCTTACTCATATATTGTCTTTTACATGTGAAAATGTAATAGTGGTAAATTTATTAAAACAATTATCTTCCTTTCTTTCTTCAATTGTTAAGTCAATCATTTCTTAACTTATCAAAAAAAAATTGTTAACACAATCATTTCTTTACTTTTTCCTTATTAATCAACCAAACACGATTAGAGTTTAACATGGTCTTTACCTCTTTTTTTCTTTCTTTTCAGCTATCTTTTCTTCATTTGCTTTCTTATTCCTCGTTAATCAACCAAACACAATTAGAGCACTGTCTCTTCTTGTCCTTCCCTACCTGTTAAACCAAGCATAGATTTAGGATTCGGATCCTGTGCTGTAGAGGATCCGTGTTGTATACCTCTCATTGATGTCTTCCCGATGAATTGGCTTGTTTGGAATATCTGAAACTCTTCAAAATGGAAGATATTGAGAACAACCAATTTCCTGGTTCTATTCCTTCCTCATGTTCAATGTGTCGTCATTGCTGTTTCTGAATCTCAGGTCAGACCAGTTTTCGAGCTCTATACTCTTTTGCATTTCGGACACGCCTTCACTGGAAACCATCAATCTCAGTCCTAATAACCATTCCGGTACCCTCCCAGTATACATGTGCAATTATCTTTTTTAAAAGGGAAAGTTCAGTGCACAAGCATTGCGGGATCTGGGAGTGTCAAATGTATCAAGCCTTATCTTTGCATGCAGAGAGGCTGTTTCCAATCACAATCGAGCAACCTTACTGTTGTGCCGAGGCTTGCCCTCATATGCAATTCTTTTCCTAAACTTAAAAGTCTTTATCTGTCTGAGAATCAGTTCTATGGTCAAATTCCATTCAGTATCTATCTACAAATGCAGAAAGCTTCAACATATATCATTACTGGCTAACGAATTCTCGGGAAGCATACCTATGGGACTCGGGAATTTAACTATTCTCAATGTCTTATATTTTGACAACAACAACAGCAGAGGTATGACTCTGTTCTGTTTTTGTGTACATATTGGGCATTTTCCAGCAGACATGGCATAAGAGATTCACTAGAAGAGTGTTTCTAAATTATGCTTAACTCCATTTAATCTTCTTGTTTAACCAAAAAAGACTTAGCAAGAGAACTATTTCATAAACTTGGCCTAAACCTGCATCATAACCCTAGCCTAGGGTTGTTACATACTCGAGTTGGGAAAGCTTTGTTCAAACCTATACCAAATTCGTCTTTTTAATTTTTGACAAATGAGAAGAGTTTCACTGATAACATAATCTCTCTTTTTTAGATGAGAAGACGTCTATCATTTTGCTAGAATGACTCTGCCTAGACCAAGCGCAACTTAAAATACAAGAAATCTGATTATAACCTTTATACAAGTCATCTACAGTACTAGATTAGGAAGACCTAGCATGCCTGAAAGTCTTACGACTACTTGAAATATTATACTAAATAATAATATCAACTTATGCTCCAATAATCTATTATGGTTCCTAGTGGTGCGTCTCAAAAAATTTATCTAATTGTTTTTTGGAAGGATGGTGCAAAAAAAGTCTATTCTAGTTCTTTTACTTGATTGGAAATTCTCACTTTCACTGTTATTTGTTGCTCCTGTCATCATAATTATCATCGGTATCTTTTTTTTTGTTTTTTATATTTCAAAATTTGATCTTATGTTAATGACGGACAAACATGATTATTAGGCCACAAATAGAACAACATTATAGCGGAGATGATTAGTATGGTTGAAGTATAAAGTTGTAATTGGTTAGTGGAAAGATGGTAAAATAAATATATAAAATTGATTAGGAAAAGATGGCAGTAGATCTTAACTAACAGATCCTGGCATACCTTTCTGTTAAACTAAATCTACTAGGCTTCTCAAAAAATAGCCTTACAGGTTCCATTCCTTCTGCTATATACAATATATATTCTCTGAAAGTAATTGATATCCAAAACAACAGCCTCTGTGGTTATCTGCCATCGGATATGTGTTCTCCCCTCCCTGTACTTGAAGTACTTCATGCTACAAACAATAAATTGATGGGGATCATACCTAGAGGAATTGGAAACTGTACTTTGCTCAAGGAAGTGACATAAGGTAGGAACAACTTCACAGGTAAGACCAGTTTTACTTTCATTTTGACGTTGTCTACTAGATTTTTCACAAACTTAAACAACGTCGATAACATCTTTCACTTTATAACATCTTTCACTTTATGCTTAAAAGATTATACTAAATAGTAATATCAACTTATGCTCCAATAATCTGTTATGCTTCCAAGTGGTTTAATAAAAAAAATTATCTAATTATTAATTTTCTGGTAGGATGGTGCAAAAAAGTCTATTCTAATTTTTAACTTGATTGGAAGTTCTCACTTTTACTATTACCGTTGTTGTTGTTGTTGCTGCTGCTGCTTCTGTCATCAGTTTCATCATCAGTATCTTCTTCTTCTTTTTTTTTTTTTTTTTTTTTTTTTTTCTGTTTTAATTTATGATCTTATATTAATGACAGACAAATCATGATTATTAGGCCAAAAATAGCAGAACATTATAGTGGAGATGATGTGTATGGTTAAACTATAAAGCTGTAATTGGTTAGGAGAAAGACGGACACTAAAAATAATAATTAGAAAAGATTGCAGTTGATCTGTGCTCCATCATATCTTAGCAAACTTTTATGTTGAACTAAATCTAGAAGCATGGATAAAGGAAATAAAAACACCTTGATTGTGCATTAGGCTTTAGAATCCATCTTTGATTCTTTATGGAATGAAAAAAAAAATAGTACAGTAACTGTTGTAGTCCATTTATATTTGAATATGTGGGGAGTTACAAGTTGATCATTACTACCATGCAGGTGAGATTCCGCAAGAATTGGTTTATCTTGTTAATTTGGAGATACTAGGCTTTTCAAATATTGGCCTTACAAGTTCCATTCCTTCTGCTATATACAATATATCTTCTCTGAAAGTAATTGATCTCCAAAACAACGGCCTTTCTGGTAATCTGCCATCGGATATGTGTTATTGCCTTCCTGTACTTGGAAGTACTTCGTGCTACAAACAACAAATTGATGGGGATCATACCTAGAGGAATTGGAAACTGTACTTCGCTCAAAGTAGTGAGATTGGGCGGGAACTACTTCACAGGTAAGACCAGCTTTACTTTCATTTTAACATAGTCTACTAGCTTTTTCACATACTTAAACAACATCAATAACATCTTTCACTTTGTCAAAACTTGTGAGAAATTTAAATCTTATCAAATGTTTTCATTGCATTGGTTCAAAGTAGATTATATGGATACTTGGGAAAAAAAAAAAAAAGAAACATCTTGTACACTGCTAATGCACAGCTCTTTCTGGAGGCAAATTGCAATCCTATAAAATTATGATTTCTTAAGCAGAGATTTTCTCATGATTAACTAGCTGTTGAAGTCTCCATCCTGAAACTCAATCTATAATGTTTTATTCTTTTATTCTTTTTCTTTTCCTTTTTTTCCTGGACTAGTCAAAATGCATGCACATTGTTTATTAACAGGATCAAACTAACTAGGAAAAAAACAGGATCAAACTTTTGATTGTTCGTGTATCCCATGGATTCATCTCTGGTGGTATAGTCACTGATAGTATGTTGGGTGTTTACATTATGGCAGGTTCAATACCGGATGAAATCGGTAACCTTAATCTTGAGAATTTCGGTATCTATGTGAATATGCTAAGTGGCCTCCTTCCAGCAACTGTATCAGTTCTCAGGCCAGCTTCCGTCAAGCATGAGCCCCTGTCTTCCCAATCTTGAAAATCTTCTAATAGGAGGACATGAATCTTCGGAGCAATCCCCAGCTCCATCTCCAATGCTTCTAAACTTACCATCCTAGACACGCCTGACAACTTATTGACTGGCTCTATACCTAATACACTTTGGTAATTTAAGATTCCTGCAGCGGTTTGTCATTGGAGAAAATGAATTGACCAGCGAATCTTCCACTCATGAATTGAGATTTATCTCATCTTTGACAAATTGTAGAGATTTGGAAGTACCGGGGTTATCATTAAATCCACTTAATGGCATTCTCCCAAGTTGTATCGGTAATCTCTCTGCTTCTCTTCAAAGGTTTACTGCATTTGATTGCAAAATTCAGGGTAAGATTCCTTAGTGGAATTGGAAATTTAAGTAACTTGATAGCCTTTAAGGTTAGAGAGCAATGAAATATCTGGATCTATTCCACCAACAGTGGGAGGGTTACAACACCTCCAACGCTCGAGTCTTTCAGACAATAAATTGAGTGGATTCATCCCAACTGATCTTTGTTACTTGAGGAACTTGGAAAAAGCCCACTGATGAAATGTTTGATGGAGAAATGAATTTGAAACGTTGGGTGGGTGACTCATTAATGCATGGCTCAATAACCCAAGTGGTGGATTCCAATCTACTAGGAGAAGATGAACATGACACTGAGAAGGAGCAATGTGTATCATCTATCTTGGCCCTGGCCGTGGATTGTTCAGCAGATTTGCCTCGGGGAACGAATTAGCATGAAAGATGTTGTAGTTAGACTAGGAAAAATTAAGAGCAAAGTTTTCTAGGGACAATTGATTTCAGAGAACAGTGTTATGTCTATGATGCTTAAATTGAGTATTTAGCACGTCCTAATAAGTCCATTTCATTTGATTTTGGGTGTTCTCAACATTCTTGTTTATTTGTTCAGTTGGCCATAGGAATTATTCCTTTAGAATGTAATTGCTTTCTTATCTTGAAATTGAAGAGAGCAAGTTCTTTTAGCTTCTTGAGAATGCATTTGAAATCCTTTAAACTGAAGTACCTAAAATTGAAATCTATTGGATTTCAAAATTTCTTGTTTGGATTCTAAAATATTTATGGAGAGGATCTGAAATTCACTGCTACCTCTTTTCTGGGGCACTTTTCTCTGGCAGGTGTGTGTGTGTGTGTATATATATATATATAACCTGTCCTTTTTCTTTGATTCTTTAACAAACAACGCCATTTTTTCCATTTCTATCGAGTTTTCATCTTTGATTATTATTTTTTATTTTATTCTTATTGGTTTTTTTCTAATTGGTACTCATGCCTCCATGAGATTTAAACCTTGATGTCCCTTTAAAAAAAATAGGACTTAATACCGATTTGATTAAATTTCTCACAGAAAACATTGATTACAAATATACATCAAACAACCTAGCCAAGAAACAGTATTAAATATAATATATTAAACATAAACACCGGGATCAAAGATCCATTATAATATTGGTTATTGCATTCAATCAACAAAATTAATTAATGGTTTAGGTTCAATCAAGATTCGTAAGATTGCATCCAATAAAAATATTCATCAAGGCATCACTGTAAGAGATCATAATCAACAATTCAATATTATATAATTTGTGAATTTATAAATTTACAAAGTCATAGTTTCCATAATTAAAGAATTATTTCACAATATAATACATTAAACATAAACACCGGAATCAAAGATCCATTATAATATTGCTTATTGCATGCAATCAACAAAATTAATCAATAGTTTAGGTTCAATCAAGATTTGTAAGATTCCATCCAATAATAATATTCATTAAGGCATCACTATAAGAGATAATTCAATATAAGAAAATGATACTTTAACCGAATTATCTTGCCGATTACTTTGACTTCAAAATCGATGTGACGTGTGCAGCTAGACTATTTTCCTCTTTTTCTTTTTCTCATTCTATTTTTCTCTAGTAGCATTCTAAAGAAGCAAAAAGTGGTGAACGATCTGGTTGGTGTTGCCGGCGGTTGGAGAGTTCAATCTGGGTCTTTCTCTTAGTCTCTTTCTCTTTCTCACAAGATGAAGACCCATTTTTTCCGTACAAAACAAAGAAGGGTAAAGTGGAACAGGAGAGGGAAACAGAGGAGAGAAGAGAAGAGAAGAAAACAGAAGGAATACAACACTTACAAAGACTCAAACACGACAATAATGAGGTCACTAGGACTCTACACATACAAAGACTATCAAATCATCATTCATGGTCTGACGTACAACACACAATTTATTCAACATTTAGCCTACAAAGTCCTCTTTACTGTTCAACTCAAACATGGACGTCGAACTTCTAATTTTGCACTAATCAATAACAGCCATCATTCATTGTACACTTTTTGTTTTCCATTTCAACATTTTAACACGTGTCCGGTGTTAATATGGAGATTGCCGGACAGATATGGGTTTTGCCAAGGCTTGAGAGCTCGCGCCGTTGCTTGAGGGCTCATCAGGTGTTATGAGTTTGTTGATATGAGAGCACCATTGTCCTTTCTGAGTTTGGGTGGTGTTCTCTGAGATTTAGAGAGAGGAGAGTAAAAGATTCTTAAACTTTGATAATTGGACAGCTACGTGGTTTATTAAACCACGTAAATTCTATTCTGTCCAGGAGATCGGTCTAAATTGTCTGCCTGCTTATCACGACTCTTCAATATATATAATTTGTGGGTTTATAAATTTACAAAGTCATTGTATCCCTAATTAAAGAATCATCTCATGATTTATTTTTTGACTTTTATTTTATTTTATGTACATTAAATCAGTTTTTGTCAGAGGGCTCTCACCGCCAACTAGAAAGGAGCATAATACCCAACTTTTATGTTTTTTTTTTAAAGAGAAGTCGATGATGTCTTTTATTTAGAATTTTTTTTGTTATAAATACTATAGAACTCGTTGTCTTGCAAGCTGAGTCATTGTTCCAAATTAATCACATTCACCCATGGAGAAAACTTGGTTTGCTGTTTTGCATGCAGTGTTGTTACTGCATTGTCTTGCAGCAGCTTGTTTAGCTAACAGTGTACCCAACATTACCAGTGACCTATCTTCTCTTCTTGCCTTGAAAGCCCATATCACTTTTGATCCACATGGTGTCTTGGCCAACAACTGGTCCACAGCTACCTCCATCTGCAACTGGATTGGAGTCACTTGCGGCACCACCCGCCCCTCACGAGTGACATCCCTGAACATTTCTAACATGGCTCTTGAAGGCACCATTCCTCCGCACCTTGGTAACCTCTCGTTTCTGGTTTCCCTCGACCTTCATAACAACAATTTCAGTGGTCAACTGCCTCGTGAGTTAAGTCATTTGCGTCGATTGAAATTCATCAACCTGGGAGTTAACAAATTCAGTGGACAGCTCCCGTCGTGGTTGGGTGACTTGACTGAACTACAACAACTACTTCTTGCTAACAACAGTTTTACAGGTACTATCCCACCTTCCTTGTCCAACGCATCCAACTTAGAGACCTTGAATTTTTCTACCAATTTTCTACAAGGAATGATTCCGCAAGAGATTGGTGATCTTCGTAACTTGAAGTATCTAAACGCGGAATTTAACCAGCTAACAGGTTCTATGCCACTCACCATCTTCAACATGTCGTTATTGCAAGTGATTGCCTTTTCAGACAATGGCATATCTGGTGGTCTCCCAACGAATATGTGCCATCGTCTTTCAAATCTCCAAGGGATTTATCTATCTCACAACGAGTTACAGGGCCAAATTCCATCAAGTTTATACGAGTGCTCACAGCTTCAAGTTTTGTGGCTGTCGTATAACAAATTTAGTGGACTCATTCCTACAGGGATTGGGAATTCAACTGTGCTTAAGGTTTTAGTGCTTGACCGTAACAACTTCAAAGGTACTATTATATTATGCATGCTAACTTTAACACGCCATGGATGTGTTCATAATTTCAAAATAAGCTTCTTAGTTTCAAATATATATTTGACAGTCATGACTTTGTACCTCAGAGCACCCTCGATCATACTGGATCATGAGTCACGACTTTAGACCCTTTTTTTTTTTTTTTAATACAAATAGTAAATTCTTTTGCAGGTGAAATTCCGCAAGAGATGGGTAATCTTAATTTGGAGTTTTTATCAATGGAGTATGCCGGCCTCACTGGTTTCATTCCATATTCCATCTTTAACATCACCACTTTGAAAAAGCTTCATCTTGCTGGAAATAACTTAACTGGTACAACCCTTTTATTCTTACAACTTTTATATTGTTGCACTCTAAATTTTGCTTCTCACTTATTTATTTATTTTTTAATTGTAGCCAATTGGCTTCTTGCCGACTACACAATTCTTTTATTTTATTTTCATACAATAGGAATTTTTCTTTTTTGCACGCATAAACTTTAATTATTGTATTTAGATTCATAATATATATATATATATATATATATATATATATATATATATATATAAATTAACAATAAAAAATTGATATTTTTATATACTAAAAAATATAAATAATTTAATTACTGAAAAAAAATATATAAATCATTTATTGTCATATCCTACCTTGCACCGGTATTGTGTCATATATATATATATATATATATTGATATCAGTAGGTTATTATTTTGAGATTTGTTTTGTTGTATGTTGTACCGATATTATTTTGAGATTTGTTTTGTTGTATGTTGTACCGATATTGTGTCATATATATGTTGAAAATAAACTTGATTTTAGTATTTAGTATTTTCAAGTATTTTTGTATCCATGATGCATGTGTTAATTTAGCATGTTAGTGGGTAGTAAATTGTGCTAGTGGGAGTTTTGCCTACTAAATGGTCATGTTAGTGGGTTAGTGGGAGTTTTGCCTACTAAATGATATGTTAGTGGGGTTTTAAGTTTCATTTGCATTTATGTTTTGAAGCCTATATAAACCCATGCATTGTACTCATTTTCTATCAAGTGAAATAAAAAGTATCTTCCTCCATTTCTATTCTCTTCCAAATAGTATAGTGTTGTGTGTGTAACTAGGCCACTATTTCCAACAAAGTGGTATCAGAGCAAAAGCCAACAAAGTGGTATCAGAGCTAGGTTTCATATCAGAGCCTAGACGATCCTGAAGGCCAGACGAAGTTGATCCTAGAAGGTTCAACATTTGAGAAAAACATGTTTCTCCTTGATGAAGATGAAGGGGAGAAAATGTATTTTCTTAGTGAAAAGATGATGTTCTCTAATTACAAGAGAATGAGAATCATCATGACTTCATACCTCAAAGCATGCGATTTGTGGGATGTTGTTGGAGAAGAGCCAAAGAATGGCATGTCCAACAAGCTTCATGAAAAGAAAGAAGATAAGGCATTGGTAGTGTTGCAAAAGGCAATACATCAAGAAATTTGGGAGTATTTTGGAGAGTCCAAAACTCCAAATTGTATTTGGAAGATGCTCGAGACCATCGTTTCCAATCATAGAGGTGAATCACTACCCATGGAGTATTGGGTACAATGCTTTGAGAATGATGAGTTTATGAAAGATGATTATGAAAGTCTTGAAGACAAAGTTGTGGAGAATGAAGAGGTGTATCATGCAAAAGAAGTTGAAGATTTTGGAGATTTAAAAGTTGAAGGAGAATTTGAAATGGTGAATAAGGAAGAGGTAAGAAAAGGTGTTAAAGAAGAGATTGAAAAAGTGAAGGAGGATGAAGTGAAAATAGAAGATTTAGAAGAAGGAAGTGCTAAAGAAGAGGCAAAAGTTCAAGTTGGTGAATTAACATCTTCAGGTATGGTTACAAATTCCACCTTGAAAGAAGTTATATTTGATTTATTTGATGAAATTATTATTTCTTCATATTCATCAAATAATGCTTATTTTGTGGAGAATGATGAACTTCTCTTAAAGAAAGTTGTTCCAAAGAAGTATAAGATTGAAGCCCAGGATGATAAGAAATTCTCATATTATTTTTTAAAAAATAGTTCGGAGAATTTTGTAATTGATACAGGTTGGGTGAATATGGAATTATTTTTTGACTCTAAAGAAGAAGTATATGTGAAGTTGAAGATCCATAAAAAATTTAAGAAGAAAAAAGATCGATGGTGTGCTTGTATAAAGAGGATGATATATGATTATGTGAAGACATCAAACAAGCATTTGAAGAAGTTTCACAAGCCCTACACATCAATGGAAATGGCCAAGAAGATTGAAGCTATTGAAGGAGGTGGAATTGAAGATCAACTATCGAACTTTTGATCAAGCCCCCAAGATTAATAAGAAGGTTTTTCAAGTTACAAAATCAAGTTTAAAGGGGGGTGTTGAAAATAAACTTGATTTTAGTATTTAGTATTTTCAAGTATTTTTGTATCCATGATGCATGTGTTAATTTAGCATGTTAGTGGGTAGTAAATTGTGCTAGTGGGAGTTTTGCCTACTAAATGGTCATGTTAGTGGGTTAGTGGGAGTTTTGCCTACTAAATGATATGTTAGTGGGGTTTTAAGTTTCATTTGCATTTATGTTTTGAAGCCTATATAAACCCATGCATTGTACTCATTTTCTATCAAGTGAAATAAAAAGTATCTTCCTCCATTTCTATTCTCTTCCAAATAGTATAGTGTTGTGTGTGTAACTAGGCCACTATTTCCAACAAAGTGGTATCAGAGCAAAAGCCAACAATATATATATATATATATTTGTGCTTCCTAACCAACATACCATTTATTTCTAGTAACGTCTAACCATAATTCTCTCACACGCGCTAATTAGTCCCATCAAAATTTCAGTCTAACTTCCATCTTCAAGACTCGAAAATGCATCTCATTTGGACGCAATGTTATCTAACAACACATAGAACCACCAAGAAACAATCGTCTCCATCACCGCCCCTCCATCAGGAACCAACTGCCCAACCACCTAAAACCTCCATTTCTGCCTTGCAATCAACCTGCTACTAGTATCTCCATTCTTAAACCACCACAACCACGGACTACCAACCCTCCAAAGCTCCATTATTGGCCACAGTTAAACCAAAAAAGGTCACATTCTCCTCACCCACACCAGCACCAAAATCCAAGTTCATAGATGATCACAATGGTGTCTTAGATGACATTGATCCTGCTAATACCCAAGCCTTGTTAGATTAGATCTTCAGGCTACGTGTTGCCATTGCTGAGTTCAAAAGCAACCATACTTACAACCATCTTCTTGAGGAAGTCGAGTGGCTGCGAGGCCTCATTGGGGATGGTCTCAAGCTCCAAGCTAAGCTAAGGGATAAAGTTACTAGTCTCAGTGATGAAAGCATCAACTCTAACCACCCACCTCATCCTCCTGTTGATGTACCCAGCACCCAAGACCGTGATGTCTCCAACAGCAGAAGGAGGACCCAGCCCACATAGCAACCACCTGACCTTGCTCCTCTCGCGAGACAGTGCTCCACCACTTACCACCACAACCATCTCATCAACCACATCAATCATGACCGTACTCAAATGCATGTTTAGTCACTTCAGGTAATACTCCTATACCTCCTTTGCCTACTTTTTCAGCTACTACATATAGCTTGGGAAAAATGACAGATAACATGCCTATCTCTGACATTACTGCTCACCACACTCAACCTACACCTTCACCACATGCTACACATGAGCCTAAGCAATCACCAAAGCCACCTAATTCTACCATACATATCAACGACCCACTCACTGGTTTCCCCTCTAAGTCAGTTATCAACTCCACCAATACTCCATCTTCCCCAACCTGGGCTGATATTTTCAAGATTCCACCCCCCCCCCCCCCAGAATTCCGTTGAAATATGTTCACCATTCACATCCCACTGACAACATTATTGCCCCACCTCCTGAAATTGAGCAAGTTGGACTCCCACACCTTAAATTTAGCCTTTTAGGCTACTTTGTCCACAACCCTCTCCCATTTGGCATGGTGAATGACCTCTCCTCATCACTCTAGTTAGACAAAGGACTCCTCAGAGTGACCAGTTCTAAGAAAGGGATTTTTGAGTTCCATTTTTCATCCTATGCTCAATGTACTACCATCATTGATTAAGGCCCTGGTTTCTTGCAAATAAGGCCTTGATTCTTAACCACTGGGAACCAAACTTCCAGAAATCCCAGCACACCTCCATACCTCTATGGGTTAAGCTCTTTGGACTCCCATTACATTTCTGGATTGAACCTGGTTTAAGTTACATTTCAAGTTTCATTGGAGTCCCTCTATTTGCTAATCCCATAACTGAATGTAGGCAAAAAACTAGGTATGCTAAGGTTTGTGCGGAAGTTAATACCTAATCTGACCTTCCATCAGTTCTTAAGCTGCATCACAGTTGAGGGAAGCTTGCTAATGTCATTGTGGAGTACATAAATTGCCCTGCAATTTGCAACTTATGTAATTGTTTAGGACACTCCAACAAAACCTGCCACTCCAAATCTACTCCCACCTTACCACCTAAATCATCCACTAAACCATCCTCTAACCGGCAACTAATCCCATACAGGTCTCTTATTAAGCCCAGCAACCTAACCTTGGCTCCTTTGAAAAACAAAATCACCACTGATCTGTCCACGCCATTACACCACAACATTCCTCTTCACCCTGGCCAAAATGTCATCACCCATTACTTCAAACCAAATGAGAGTTTTAAGGTTGATCTCAGCTGTTATCACCCAACCCAAATGTCCTCTGATATCATCCCAGAAACCAACCGAGCTACTTCCACATCAGTGTTGAACTGTACTGTATCTACTAATCATCTACCATCTTTTGATGTCGAGTGCACAAGCTTATCTGAATCTGACTCCACCAACAGTCTTCCCATTGAATGAAGCAAATACAAGGCAAGGAAAGGCATTATCTCCAAAAGACGGCAGACCAAGAAATCCAATCATCAAAGAAGGAATCTCTTCCCAAGTGGCAGTTTCTTCAATACCATTAAATGGTATCAATAGCAATTTGGAATATCAGGGGCTTGAATAGCTCCCTGAAACAAGATGAAGTTAAACTTCTAATTTATGATAATAGGGTAGGTATTGCCTCTATTATTGAGATTAAGATTAAATCAGAGAATGTGGACAAGGTCCACAGATTCATTGCCAGACACTGGAGGCTAACTCATAATTACAACTTCTCATCTTTGGGAAGAATTTGGGTCCTTTGGAATCCTAGATCAATTGAACTCCAAGTGCTGAGATGCTCAAGGCAGGCTGTTCATCATCCTTAGTTGTAGGTCCACTTTCTACATCTCCTTTATATATGGAGTTGATGAAGCCATTGAGGGGGAAATTCTGTGGGATGATATTATTAAACATTCGTCTTCACCTTCACTTCTCTCTTCACCATGGATACTTGGTGGGGACTTCAACATCATCAAATCCTCATTCGAGGACCATGGGGGCTCAGGGAAAACTTCCAAGGCAATGTTGGATTTTAGGAGTTGTCTTCACCATGCCAACCTTGAAGATCTTCATTTCTCAGGATTATTCCATACTTGGAGTAATGAGAGCCCTAGAGTCTCAAGTATTTCAAGGAAATTGGATAGAGTGCTTATAAATGATTCTTGGAACCAGTTTTACCCCTTGTCTCGCTATAATTTCCTCCCACCTAGAATCTCTAGCCACAGACCAATGATCATTACCTTTGGCAACCCTAGACCACAAAGGAAGGCTACACCATTTTTTAAGTTGTCTCCAAATTAAAAAGCCTCAAGACGCCAATGAAAATTAAATTCTCATCATCCTTTACTGCACTTCAGGCTAAGGTCAAGAATGCAAAGGCATCCCTTTCTAATTACCAATTTGCCCTTGATGTTTTTCCTAATGATCCTTCACTAAGGTTCCAAGAAAAGCAGCTTTTCTCATCCTACACAAGGCTCAAAATCTTAGAGGAGCAAACATGCAGACAAAAATCAAGAGTGTTGTGGCTTAAAGATGGTGACTCAAATACCTATATTTATTTTTATTTTTATTATTTATTTATTTATTTATTTTTTCCTATAAGTCCATTGCCTCAAGATTCAATGGAAACAAAATCTATCACCTCTAACACTGGTATTTTACTTGATACTGAAACTGCCATTAAGCAAGAGGTTGTCTCCCATTTCCATAGAATCCTTGGCATAAATCCACATATCTTTCTAGGTAATGATCTTCTACAACAATTTATCCAACCTTTATTACCATCTTCCTTTTCACATTCACTTTGCTCCATTCCCACTGATGAGGAGATTCACTAATGCATGTTCTCCCTTAACTCTGACAAGGCCCTAGGGCCTGATGACTTCAATGCCTTATTTTTTTAAGAAAGCATGACCAGTTGTTGGTCATGATGTTACAAAGGCAATCAAATAGGTCTTCACTTCTAGAAAGTTGCTCAGAGAGGTTAACTCAACCTACATCTCACTTGTCCCCAAAACCTCCAATCCCACTACCCTCAATGACTATAGACCAATTTCTTGCTACCATCTACTAATATATTTCCAAAATACTTGCAAATAAACTTAAACCCACACTTCCTCATTTCATTGACTATGCACAGTTAGCCTTCATTTGTAGAAGGCAAATTGATGACAACATCTTACTTGCTCAAGAGTTTCTCAATGGCTACCACTGATAGACAAGTTCACCAAGATGTGCCCTCAAAATTGACCTTAAGAAGGCATTCGACCCAGTCTCATGGGACTTTCTCTTTGAGTCATTGAGAATGTTTGGATTTCCTTCCTTGTTTATAGCTTGGATCAAAACTTGTGTAACCACTCCCTTTTTCACCATCTTAATTAATGGTGAGTTCAACGGTTATTTCAATAGCATCAAGGGGTTGAGACAAGGTGAACCCTTGTCACCATTTCTTTTTGTGATTGTGATGCAGTTATTCTCACTCATAGTCAACAAATTCACCAATCACATGCCATTCAAGTTTCATTGGAGGTGTAAAGATCTTAGGCTAACACACCTAATCTTTGTTGATGACCTTTTGCTCTTTTCACATGTAAGCCTTCCTTCCCTTTGCTCTCAAGAATGCTTTGGACACTTTCTCCTCTCTCTTTGGCCTCCAAATCAACTACAGAAAGAGCCATGTCTTTACCTCAGGTTTTAATGAGCAGTTAGAAGCCTCCATCCTAGCATTACTTGGCTTCGAGAAAGGTGTTCTCCCAGTGAGATATCTTGGAGTGCCTTTAATTACCTCTATGCTGAAAGCTTCCGATTGCAGGATTCTCATTGATAAAATTACTTCTAGAATCACTCACTAAACTAGTAGAGACCTTTCTTTTGCTGGGAGAATGCAGCTTGTTAGAGCTGTATTGTTTTCCACTCAGATTTATTGTAGCTCCAAATTCATTTTGCCAAGAAGTATTATTCTTGAAATGGACAGAATTTTCAGTGTCTTCCTCTGGTATGGCCCTAAGCTTAAGAAGACTGGCTGAAAGGTATCATGAAATTTTTGTTGTCTCCTTAGAAGTGCTGGCGGATTGGGAATACCAAATCTAGCAACCTGGAATGAAGTTGCAGTCATGAAACACTTTTGGCACATCATCAACTCTAGGAAATGCTCTGGGTCCAATGGACCAACACCTATCTACTTAAGGGTATTAGTATTTGGGAGGTAAAGATTTCTGGACAATGCTCTTGGAACTGGAGGGGACTTCTCAACCTCAGGTCAGCAATTCAACTACTTGTCATGCTTGAAATTAGTGATTGAAGAACCACAAATTTCTGATTTGACAATTGGTGCAGCTTAAGCCCCCTGCCTCAATTTGTCTCTCTACAACAGATCAATGACTCAAATTATGGAAGCAAGACAAAACTATCCTCCTTCATTGTCAACTCCATATACTTATTCCCAACCTCCATTACCAACATACTTCCTCAGCTACAACTGCCTCCCATTCTTACACTCCTAATACCACGCCCACAAAAGAAGGACAAAATCACATGGATTCCTTCACCCACAGGGAAATTCTCAAATGTGAAGACTGTTGGGAAACGTGCTAGTTTTAAAAACTTTTCGAGGGATTTAAATTCATAGATCTTGATTCATCACATAGAGACAAGTTTTATGCAAAAATAAAACATGATGTATCATTCAATTGAAAGATTGAATACTTACATCAAGGTTTGAGTAAACCTTAGATCTCTCCTCTAAAGTGAATGTTCTCACTTATTGTAGATCCCTTTTGCTAGACACCTTTTCTATGGATCTCCATCTTCTTGGTAATTGTTTTGCCTTTAGGAATCACTCATAAGCCTCCATGAATGATCTTGGAAAATTAGGCTTGTGGGAGCCTCCATTAAATGAGAACACTAACCCTAATTTTCTAGAGAGAGAAAATATATTCCTTTTTTACTTCTTCCAAAAATCACACCTAAAAATATACATAGACCATGTATATTTATAGGTAACATAAAGATAAAGAAAAGGAAACAACAAATCCTTCTCAATCTCTAATTCACATGTCTCAAATCTAATATGATTCCAATATCAAGTTGGGCTATGAGTGAGAATCCATTGGGCCTATTATTTTATTGGCTATAATGAATTAATAATTGGCCCGGTCCATGGACCCAATTCAATTAATTCATAAATTAATTTCTACTCCACTAAAAGAAATTAATTGAACTCCAATTAAATAATAAATAACCTTTAAGTCAATATTGCACTTTGACCTCTCTATGCATAATTAGTTATCGGATAAATAAAGCCATCAATCCGACTACTTAATTAATATATTTATTTTGGTACCTTTGATTATTTCTGGCTCGATCACAATAAAACATTTGTTTGACAAAAATAATAATTTAAATAAATAAATATATAATAAATCATTTTGTCTAAAAACATACGAAGGCCTTCGAATTTACTTTGTGATCAACTATAATCAATACAAAATAAATACAAGTAGCAATGATGCAAATATTGAAATATAACCCTCTAACTATTAATTACATAACTACCCAAAGTGTCGGTCTAAGGATCCTAAAGAATCTGCCGAACAAATCAAAGTAATTATTAATTAATAAAAGAGTCTATACTTTTCTCATGCTTAAGAGTCAAATGCCATGACGGTGATAGGGAGCAATTGCATACGACGGCTCTCGCAATATATCTCAACCTAACGCGGATCCAGTTCTAGTCTTAATTAATTATAAATCCATCCATAATTACCGACTATGAACAATTTATAATTACTATTTATATATAATGCATTGATTGTCATCACATACATATATATAAATATTTCTTGTAATTACAGGGATACTATCAATTTCATAGTGAATCGAAATATAATACATTGAATTCACCAATTATATAAATCATAAACATTTCAGATATGTTAGGAACATATGTCACTATAATCTAGATAGGAATTTACTATGCCAGGGCATATAAATCCCAACAAAGACACCATGGACTCACCTAATTTGGTCTAAACCATCAATTCCCAAGCACTCATTCACCCTATGGGTTGCAATACAAAACAAACTACCAACACTTAACAGAAGATACACTGCTTACCTCAATTCCACTCTTTGTATCCTCTGTAGCAACCAATTGGAGTCCATGACCACCTATTCTTTAAATGTGATTTTGTAAAGCCCTTGTTGTCCTTTCTTCAAGCACGTTGCTGGTTCCATATTCAACCTTCTTCTTGGCCGGACTTAATTGCGTGGGCATCTCATCATTGGAAATGCAATTATGGGTTTTACAACAACTCAATCTCGAAAATGGCTCTGGCTTCTTTGGTCTATGGCATATGGAATGAACGCAACCGGAGAATCTTCAAGAAAAAATATCTTGCGCAGAATTCATTGCTTCATCAATCGCTGGATATAGTGAGATTGAAACTAATGTCCTCATCATTTTCTGATTCTCTTAATGATAGGCGCATAATTGAGGAATGGGAGCTCCCAAGTTCAGTTCGGAGGCTGCCGGAGAAGCCACCAGATCGGCGAGTATGAGGAGCCCTTCTTCCCTTCGTCACTGTTTTGTGAGGCTGACCAACATTGATCATTAAACCATCCACCTTGGATGGGTTGTTTGTAATATTGTACCTGGGCTGTAGTATTCATGGACCATATTGTGATGGTTTGTAGCTTTGGTTAACACATGGCTGTATCATTGTTAATTCTTATATCTATATAATTGCAATTTAACTCTCAAAAAAAAAAAAAAAAAAAAAAAATGATATCCAATTGCATACATATATCTAGATTTGTGGTCCTTCCATAACTCATAAATTCATTAACGCTAATGAAAATCAATAAAGCTTTCATACTAATGGAAATTTCATTGTAGGTGAAATTCCGCGGGGGATGGGGAACCTCCTTAGTCTCGAGGAAATAAATTTGAGTCGAAATCACTTCACTGGCCTCGTACCTTCTTCTTTCTCTAATATCACTTCGTTGAAATTGCTTATTCTTGGCAACAATAGCTTCACAGGTACAATTTTTTTTTTTGAAAGATCAGGTACAGTTTCATCTTGAGTTGCACTAAACATTTTCCTTTCGTTTCTTTTTCTTTTCGTCATGGATGGGATTTCATGTGTTCTTGAGTATATAGTTCATGAATTCTGAACTAAGGTGTTGTTTGTTGAATTGAAAAAAGTATGAAAATTCAAGAAAAGTTAAAGTATTGATTTTATAAAAGTGAAAACCTATAGGCTATTTTTTGCAATTTTGAGTGCTAAATGTATTAAAACAATTAGAACTGTAACTTGTTTAATTCACATGGTAAAATGATAAGTAGTCCGAGTGTTGGGACACATCCAACCTTTTCTTGCAGAATAACTCCGAAATGAAGTTTTAGCTACTAAACTTTCTTCAATCTTGTCTTTTTTATTTACATTTTGGCAGGTGGAATACCGGAAGAGATTGGTAACACTAAGTTAGAGGAATTAGTATTACATTTCAATCACTTAACAGGTCCCATTCCAGGAGCAATCTTCAACATGTCAACACTGCGACGTCGGCTCTCACTTGTGGTGAATCAGCTTTCTGGAAATCTTCCATCAAACATAGGCCATTCATTACCCAACCTTGAAGGACTTTTTTTAGGAGGAAATACCCTCAGCGGAATTCTTCCTCACACTATATCCAATGCTTCCAATCTCATTAAATTAGAGCTTTCGGAAAACATGTTCAGTGGTTCAGTTCCCAACTCCCTTGGTAACTTGGCGCGTCTCGAATATCTAGGCATTTATCAAAACAATTTCATCAGTGAATCTTCTTCCTCTCCAGAATTGAGCTTCCTGACTTCTTTGACAAATTGTCCACGCTTAACAGAACTGCAGATAGCTGATAACCCTCTAAATGGCACCCTTCCCGTTTCCATTGGTAATCTCTCCTCTTCATTCGAAACTTTTAATGCAACTTATTGTGGGATTGAGGGAAATATTCCTAATGAAATTGGTAATTTAAGCAATTTGGCATCATTGTATTTAACTGGCAATCACTTGACTGGGTTTATTCCCATATCCATCAAAGGGTTAAGGAAACTCCAAAGGTTGTATCTTGACAATAATGGGATAGTGGGATCTATTCCTGAGGTTCTCTGCCAATTATTCAACCTGGGTTTGATAAGTTTGAGTGAAAATAGTCTTTTTGGTCTAATTCCAGAATGCTTAGGGAATGTTTCTTCCCTAAGATATATATATCTAGGATCCAACAGATTAACTTCACCCATACCTGCAACCCTTTGGAGCCTTGAATATCTTTTGGAGTTAAACATCTCCTCAAACTCTTTAAGTGGATATTTACCCCCAGAGATTGGAAGTTTTAAAGTTGCTACCGAAATTGATCTATCAAAGAATCAATTCACAGGAAATATTCCTAACACCATTGGCGGCTTGCTAGATATAATGAATCTTTCTTTGGCAAATAATAGGCTACAAGGACCAATTCCGGACATATTTCGAAGCATGGTAGCCTTGGAATTCTTGGATCTTTCTCATAACAACCTTTCTGGTGTGATCCCCCGGTCGTTAGAGACACTATTGCATCTTAAATATTTTAATGTATCTTTCAACAAACTAAGAGGAGAAATCCCCACTGGAGGACCTTTTGCAAACTTCACGAATCAATCGTTTATGTCGAATGAAGCATTGTGCGGTGCCCCTCAGTTCCAAGTCTTGCCATGCGATACTAGCACTCATCATAGATCAAGGATAAAAAGAGTGCTTCTCGTCTTGTTGCTGATTGCATCAATATTTCTTGTCTTGATGGTTGCATTTGTATATTTGAGATGTCGAAAGAAAAACAAAACTCCAATTCAAACTGGTTCAATACTTGCAACTGAAAGAGAAAGAATTACATACCATGAACTTCTACAAGCAACTGATGGGTTTGGAGAAAGCAACTTGCTTGGCATCGGGAGTTTCGGTTCAGTTTATAAAGGTATGCTGATTGATGGAACTATTTTGGCTGTAAAGGTATTCAATCTGCAGCTAGAAGGTGCTTTTGAGACTTTTGAAACAGAATGTGAAATTTTGCGCAACATCCGACACAGAAATCTCACAAAAATCCTTAGCAGTTGTTCTAACTTTGATTTCAAAGCCTTGATACTCCAGTACATGTCTAATGGGAGCCTTGAAAAGTGGTTGTATTCTCACAACCACTTCTTGGATATCTTGCAGAGGTTAGATATAATGATAGATGTGGCATGTGCAATCGACTATCTCCACAATGGTTATTCAACGACTATTGTTCACTGTGATTTGAAGCCAAGCAATGTCCTTCTAGATGAAGATATGGTTGCACATGTGAGTGATTTTGGAATTGGGAAGTTCTTGGGTGATGAAGAGAGTATTACACTAACCGAGACACTAGCTACATTTGGGTATATTGCACCAGGTGAAGTTCTTATAAACATATTTTGATATCAAGTTTCTATTAAATTATACTTTTCTAACCTATATATTAATGTTTCTGATGAGTTGTATTGTTGGATCGATGTAGAATATGGAATTGAAGGATTAGTATCCACAAGGTGTGATGTTTACAGTTATGGCATTATGTTAATGGAAACATTTACAAGAAGGAAACCAACTGATGAATTATTTGCTGGAGAGTTGACCCTCTGGGGTTGGGTAAAGGAGTCTTTACCCAATGCTGCAATTCAGGTCATAGACTCCAACTTGCTAAGGCCAAAGGAAGAAGACTTTACTACAAAGGTGCAGTGTGCGTCGTACATCATGGAATTAGCTCTGAATTGCTCTTCAGAATCACCTCAGGAAAGGATGCGTATGGGTGATGTTCTAGCAGCACTCAAGAAGATTAGACTTTGGTTCCTAGCTAACCGTGCGTAGAGTTGTTGCAAATTGTGAATGGAGAAGAAGCGTGAAAGTATCCAACTTACTTTATTTCCTGTTTAATTATGCTTTTCAGTGTTACCAATGGCATCTTTGGCTTAATTTTTTGACCAAACAACCAAAACCTGATTCACCTATAGTAATTTAGAAAATCAATTCTCACCCTGAAAACCAATTGGAGAGAGTATGTAGATGTGCTCAATGAGCGCTGAAGGTGTTTTCTCACCAATGTTGTTTCCTAGTGCGTGCTGTTGGTGGTAAATGTCTTGTTTAAGGTTATCAGTATCCTTAACCTAAATCAAATTTGACATAAAAAAAAAAAAAAATAAAATAAAATAATAATGTAGTCATTGTATTTCTTGCTAATGGATTGATCATTTTGCTAACTGATATGCAGGCTGTGGTAGCTCTCCTCCTACATGATGCTAGAACTTCACTGTTAGAGGTTACTCGTCGACGGAGAAAGCACATCTAAAGCTAGTTTTTGCTGGATAAAACAGTATGTAAATGGTATTTTGTATCAGATTAATTAGATTGATCCATCTACAGTATGTACTAGTTACAAGGTTATTGATTGTCTGTTTGTACTGTGTGTGGCTAGATTTCCTTTCTTTCTGTGATCAGATTAATGAATTTCCTCATGAAGACGATTAATCAAAGAATTTCTTGACTTCTAATGTGTAAATATAAGATGAGTTAAAAGTGGTGATAGAGGAAGAATTATGACTACCCATGGTATATGTTCGAGACATGTTTTAAAACATAATTATGCATATTCTCATCACATCCATTATTTTTGGCTGTATACTGTTTCAAAATAAGTGTCATTTTTTTTTTGGTCTATCTCAAAATAATTGTCCACTTTTCTTTTTTAAACAATATATTTCATATTTTTCATATATGTCATTTGAGTTTTAAATTTCAAACATAAATATTCAAAACTTAAAAGACAATTTAATGATTTTTTAAGGAGACACTGCATATACCCTTAAAAATTACTTACTCCCCAAAAAAAATAAAAATAGGATGGAGGGAGTATATTAGTGAAAACTATTCAGAATTTTTTATTTAAATCCAAAATATAAATTGTTCACGGTTTGAAGTGAATGAAAATGTTTGACCGAAATCTAGAATAGAAAAGAGGCCCAAGTAGCAGGATTCACTAAGCCCAATCATGACCTGCCATCTAAAAGAAGTGAATGTGCGTCGAGAACATTTACACCTTCAATAATTTAATGGATAAAATAAATCTCAGGAGCACCTTAATAATTTGCAAGAGACACTTTGTAATTTTTAAAATATATTTTAATTTTTTTAGTACAAATGGTTGGCATATAACTTATTCACTACACTAATAACATTTTGATAATGCCTATTAAAAATAGAAATTTAAAAACTTTTTTTTTCCTGAAATTTAAAAAGTTAATAATGCTTGAATGTATGGACAATATTTGTATCCTACCTAGAAGAAGGTTCTTCTAATGGGTGTGATATGGACCAAGTAAATGTGAGATCCGGCTAAAAACGGGTTGCAAGTTGATTTAAGATTCAAAAGATAAGTATGCATGCCCCCATTGTCTGGACAACAATATATATATATATATATATATATATATATTATATTCGTTTTCTTTTCTTTCTTCCTTGATTTACTTCTTGATTTGTTCTTCCTTGATTTATTCTTTTGTCTGTAACTTTATTTCTTATATACTGTGTATCAATACAATGTAAACATATCAAGAAATACAAGTAATAAGAAAAATGTAATCTTAGTGGCTCTTGATCCATGGATGTATGCCTTAATGCCGAATCATGTATATATTATGTTCTTAATTTTTCTCAGTTTTATCTTCCTATTTTACATCTTATATTTTTGCATCATAAAGTTAACAAACAATTGCTCTTGATCTTCTTCTCCTTCACTACTCTGCTCAGATAATTATCACCGTTGACGAGAGACCTTTTGCCCAAAAACCCAATGCAACTAGAACTAATGAATGATGGGTTTGATATTGTCAATTTAACCATCAAGCCAATTGTCTTAGATCATAATATTGTTGATCCCTCAAAGCCAATAAATCGGCCTCAAAGCCTACCGTGAAATGGGATGAAATTGTAGATGAAGAATAAAAAGATTCAAGTGAAAGAATAAGAGGACTCTTTGTAATGACCCGGTCATTTTTCTTCCTTTTCTTTTTCTCAGATTTTAACGGATCTTTTTTTTCCGTTGTCTTTTCCTTTTTGGGTTTGGTTTTTCATCACTTGATTTCGTCTCGAGTGCTCTGGAATGATTTCCGAGACTCTTTTCCTTAGATTGACAACTCCCTTTGGGGATTGTGTCATTTCCATATTTTATTTTTCCGAACACTATTTACATTTTGTCTTTTTCTCGTTTATTCTTTTTCCTTGCACAACCTCACTTTTTGTGCTCGGATTTAATTCCGGTTTTGCATGCATTCATGATATTTGATTTTCATGATAGTGGTATTTTTACATTTCTAGAAAAACATGTTGATTGCTTACTTCTTTCATAAAGGGGCATTAATGCATACTTTAGTGTAACTATTTTTAACTTGTAGGGTTTTTATAATTAAATAAAGTAATTATTTTTCATCTTGGGGACCATTTTGCAATTAAATTTGGAAGATATTTTTAAAAAGGACCTTTTTGCAATTTTTGAAAAGTGTGACAAGTGTCATACTCTCATTGGTCCACTTGTTGACATTTGTATGGAAACACTTTAATGCATTGGATGATGACATTTGGAGGGTGAGGATTTACCCACTTGTTGGCCTAGGATTGGTGCACTTGTTGGCTTGGATGGTTGACAAGTGTAGGTGTGGGATTAAGCCTAGGAAGGAGCTATGGATTGGTGACAAGTGTAGGTTCATAATTTAGTCTTGCAAATATCTTTGGGCCACTTTGAGATTATGGTTTTAAAGGAGGGTTTTTGTGCAATTGACCATAGATGTGTGTGTTGACCATGGTGTAAGAGCACATAGTGCGTGGAGGATTTCTATTTCCTCCACTCACACTTAACCACATTATTTCATTCTTTTCCTTACAAGAAAACCCTAGCCTCCATGGATGGAGCTTGAAGCCTTAGGCATTGACCTTGATCTTTGAGACCCTTTCACTTACTTTAGACCATAAAGCTTGGAATACTTTTTGTTCCCCTCATCCTCCTCTTCAAAACCCTTGAAGGATCTAGCCTAACTCCTAGTTTTGCTTTGGTATCTAGAGATTCAATTCTCTAGTGAGGTATTAATCTATTATTTTGAAGTATTTTTATGTCATTATTGAGTGCTTTACATGCATGGAAGAGAAGGACTTGTATTTTGCCCTTAAACTGTTTTAACTTGAAATTAATCTTGTCAAATTAAATATAGAATATGAAAATATACTAAATTAGCTTTCATTTAGTTTTTGTTTCATGTAATTTGGATTTAAAATGAATTAGTTATGAATTTTTGAAGTTGCAAGCTAGTTGTTGGAAATTTGAAGCTTTTCCTTTTCGGTCTAGAAATAAATTTTTATATAGAGTTGTGGTGCTTCAATTGCCTTGAAATTTTTATTGGAACTTTCCCCATGGGTTTTACACTACTCAGAATTTTTTCACGATTTAAGAGCATTTCTAATTTTTTTTAAAAATTCAAAACTATCTGCTGTCCATGTTTTTATTGCAGCTAGAAAACATATTTTTAGATGATTTATTTTACTAACCTTTTGACATTGGATCATGGCTTAAATTTCTAGTTTTACACTCTCATATGTTTACTTCCAAAATAAATTAGGTTTGCCCAATTTGGGTGTCAAATGAATTTTTTATGAATTTTCAAAGTTGGAAGATACAGGCTAAAAATGTGTTTTCTGGGCAGAATTTGTTTCAAAGTTGTTGGTCAAAACTGTTTCAATTGGGAATTATCAAATTACGGTGTTTAAGCTTTCATTGGGCTTTGGATTCATTCAATTTGGTTTAGAATTGAATTTTTAATGAATTTTACAAGTTGAAGGTAGCAAACTGAAAAATCTGTTTTACGAACCGAAAATTTGGGACGATTTCATTTCGGTGGTAATTGGAATTTTTATTACAATAGAGGTAGGGAATGTTTTAGGATTATTTGTGTATTGTATTGTGTGTTTGCCATGATTATACAACATATATGTATGCCTTGTATCAAATCTAGAAAGTTAGTAATTTTTATTTCTTTGTATAAGATTTGATGATGTATAACTTTGATTTGAATTGTAACATGTTAGGAAATTATGCTTAGATATGTTGGTTAACATATATTAAATTTGGATCATTTGATTAAGAATTGCAACTTTTATTTAATATTTATCTTTAGTGAAAGTTTAATTCACATGGTTGTATCAAGCATTAAATCAAGTTGTAATATGGTATTTAAATATGCCTTGGCATGTTCTCTAATATAGATTAAATTGAGGGCATTTGGAATTATTTAAAAATGTAGAGGAAATTAATTAATTAGCTTGATTAATTTTGTTTTAAGTGTTTTAATCACTTAACTTGTCATTTGATGTTATATATATGATGACCATGACATGTCTTTCAATATATATTAAATTGAAGTTATTTGGATTAACTTGAAATTTAGAGAATTTAACTATTTATGTTTAATTAAATTCTACTTTATTACTCCATGGATTTAATTGCATTTTGAAAGTTGTTTCTATATTTAAATCATGAATTTGGATTTGATGTATGTTCACTTGATTACTTTTGAGTATTGGATAGTATAGTTGTTACTTTTATATTCATGAGAATATGTTTTTCCTTATTGAATATATTGTTACTATATATGTAAGGAATTACACATTTTGTATTTGACATCTTACATGCCATAATAGTTGTGAATTTTGAGCATGTATTGTATAAGTTTCCAAAATTTAGATTGTGCTTGGTAAATAGTTGATATCTTGTATATACATGTTGATATATATACGTTGTTGCACAATTTGTTGATTTTGGAAAC